CCGTCGGGGCGTCGTAAGTGATTGAGTGCATAAATGATCCTGCGAAAGATGAATACGTGGTACGCACCCCAGCTTGTCTCGCCGGTGAGTCCTACATAACCATACAGATGAATATGCGGAGATGCATTTCCCAATGTTAAAAAATAGGTTATATTTAAAAAAACACCTTTTTAATGTACAGTACAGTATATAATATTTAATGCATGCTTATAACATGACGTTGGATGATTTGATCGTAGTTTGACGTACAAAATACTGATATTATGGAGACGTTAACGAAAATTGCTAGTTCTTGGTTTACTCAATTACATTAAACTTTTCATCGCAATGGTAAAATTGCTGTTACAATTGCATTGTCACTGTTTACTCCACGCTCATATCACAATAATTTGTTTTTAAATTATTTCTCTGTAGATATAAATAAAATTGAAATTCTGTTTATTGATGAGCGTGTTTTAATTGAGAACGGTTGAACCCATCTGACATTTTTTAAATTTTCGATATACTTTGAATAAGGTTTTTAAAATAATTCAGAAAAGATGCCCGAAAATTTGGAAAATCCTGAAAAATCTGAAAGTGCTTTTAATTATGAGATTTTTAAATAACCTCAAAATTCACAAAACAAACTAAATTTCAATAGAACGACGTCTGTTAGGTCAGCTAGAAAGTATATTAAATAATCATAATTACAAAATAGGACAAGAAAAAATGTATAGTTATCGCTATAGAAAACCGAAAAAAATTGTATGGACATACATTGATCACGTAACTTAATTAACTTAATACTTAGTTATGCTATTCTTTCAGATTCTTTTTCATTCCATTTTATACTGTTGTTTTGTTTCAAAAGTTGCACCGATCTGATTAGCATATACGCACCTACTAACGACCTCGATAAATTAATCAATTATTGATTAGTGGAAAATTTTCCAAACAAAACGCTGTGTTCATTTTTTTAAAAAGTGTTATATTTTTAATTTTGTTTTTTTTATTAAAAAATTGTGAACCCGCGAACACTTCTGTCAAAGTCAAATATTTTACTATTTTACTAATGGAAACTAAAATATGCATGCTAAACCATGACGGATAACATCTATATATGTATATATAAAACAAAGTCGGGTTTGTTACAACACTTATAGCTCGAGAACTGCTGGACCGATTTTTATGATCTTTGTTTTGTTGGGTTTGTCTTTCTCCCGAATAGCAGGATAACTATTAAAACATCGGGAAATTCCCGAAAAAATGTAAAGAAAACGATAGTTTATGTGGTTTACGTAGTAACGGAATAGCAACTTAACTGTTGAAAATTATATGCTCGCAAGCATACATACGGAGACTTTTTAATTTATTAAGTAAAATTATAGTTAAAAAAAACTAAAAACATGCTTTTGATGAATTGAAATGTTTGAGAGTCGTAAAGACGAATCATATGAGCCCAAACTCGAAGGGTATACTAGAAGCCACGGAGTTCCACTATTCAACTCCTGGCTGCATCATCAGATCAGCTCGAAGATACCAAGTTTTAGTACTGTTATTCGAACCACATGCACCTTTAAAGTTTCATTTTGGATATGAAAATTCTAAGTAGATTAAAATTGACGTTCAAGATGATTACATAGTTTGTAAGTAAGTAAGCTAATACCTACGCGTGTGTTAAAAAAGCAGAGTGTACACTGTACGATATTAGCAATAAAAGTTACAAGTGAAATATATAGATGGTAGTTATATATATTTTTAGTAACACTTCACTTTAATACTGATATTATAAGGATTACAATCTGATTCAATTCTCTTGTTAAAGGCTACAAAGCGTACCAGTTGAGTGTAATTCTATATTATATCACGATTTTGAATTAAGCCTATTGATATTTTATGAAGACGCGGAACGAGTCACTAACAATACTTAGTTATGTTTCAACAACCTTTCTCATTATATTTTACCTTGGAAATCATGTAATCGCCATCAGTCTTCACAAGCTGAAGCATATTCTTTTTCCAAGTGATCATAATTTGCGTTAAAGCGCGTAATGTATGATTTCTGTACTAATATACTCGTAATTTAGGTACAATTTTAGTAGAATGATAAAAGTGTGTTTACATAAAAAAAAAAAACTTGGAATTATATTACATAACTTAAGCCGTTTATCTCTGATTTATGTTTGTCTAGACTCTAGAGGTTCAATATCTTTACTTAAAAAAATTAGTAAATGCTAAGAAATCTTCTTCAAAACCAATATAATTAGTGCAAATATTATAAATGTGAAAGTTTGTGAGTATGTATGGATGTTTGTTTCTCTTTCACGCCAGAACGGCTTAACGGATCTGGATGAAATTTGGCGTAGAGACAGATTATAGTCTGGAATAATACATAGGCTACATACATTTTATCCCGGAAAAATATACGGTTCCTGAGGGATAGATTTGTCTTTGATTTTCTAGAGGCGAACCCGAGCGAAGCGAGGATGAACCGCTAGAAGAGAAATTGTAAAAGGAATGATAAATTAATAAAATAATTAAATATGGCATTTTAGGTATATTATAATCATATATTTATAGAATATCTTTAAGGAAAGAATATTATATATCATTGGTCAGACAGTAACAACATGTCGCTTTTTGGCTGTCGGTGAAAATCATCACAAAAATCATCGTAAAAATTTTACTCTCATAATATTTTCCAAATGTCCCAAAAGAAGTATAACTTCAAAAAGTGAAAGGCCACCATCTATTTGATTTGGAAGAGTCTTTTCTTGTTTGTATCTTTCAAACGCCCTTATCTCTGGAACTATCAGGAAGATTTGATTTTTTTGTACATAATAACCTACATATTTATAGAGGAATATATTATGTAACATAGGCTTTATAACATCATGCTATAACTCTTAGGAGAGGAGTAATTTTACATGTACTAAGTAATTTTACACGTGCAAGCTGCACGAAGAAAATCACGAGAAAAAGTTTTATTTTAGCACTAAATAAAACTAGCCACTTCCGTAATCATGAACAGCTAAAGTCACCGAAATATGAGTAAACATGACATAAGCCTGTTGACGCGTCGTACAATGCCTCTTGTGTAAGTTGTTACGGAAAGTACTTTTGTTCTTATCAACTAAGTTACAATGTCCTCCAATTCATTACATCGTAATAGCAATATGTAATATATACTTATGTAATATTCAAATAAGCCAAGCAACAAGCTTACAAATTACTCTATAAACTTTAATCAAAAATAATATATTTGTGTTATTTTTGTGTAATATTTAAGTTCCCACTGCCTTAGTGGCGGTCCCGGGTTCGAGTCCCGGGTTGGGACAAGTTTGATTATTGAGTCTTTCTATTAAGGAAGTCCCAGAAACATCCTGTAGTTGGCAAGTTGGCGGTAGTTCACCCCCGTGCCGAGCCCGTAAAACCTAGTAGATTCTGCGCCTTAACTCTTACTGGCCGTGTCGAGTAGTCGTCCATATCGATTAAAATTCCCTGTGTTTGAGTTTTATTATAACATGTTTCCCAGGGGAAATAACTAGACTATATGATTCTCCAGCCTTCTAAACATTACTTCACTCAGACCATCGTATAGATCCGACCGTCGATCTCCGTTTAGAATTAAAATAAGGACAAATATATTCACAAAGAAATTAACACATTTTTTAATTTACAATAGTGGTAGTATCACTATCAATATGACATACTATTTTATAATTTTTATGATTAGGGTACCAGAATTTATTATTTTGATACCGCTTCGTAGACAATGAAAGCAACTCAAGAGCTAACAAAACTTACTCTATCAATGATAGTTTTCCAAAGATAACTCTTAAAATGTTTTTTTTGTTTTTTTTTTTTATTTATATATTTCTATTACCGGTATAACAAAAAATAATAACAATAAAAAATAAAAGTACAAGAAACATTTTTTTAACGTTCGTAATCGATCATCGAAGTTAATATACTACGAGTACGAGTAAATGCATAGAGTAAAAGTCATATTAATAAAAAGTATATGTGCGATGGTACGGAACCCTTCCTGTGCGAATTCGACAATCACTTGAACGATTTTTATTGTAAATAAGTACATATAATGTATGCTTTTTTTACACATTGGTCATTTTAATAGTAAATTATGTATCAATTTACCTACATGTAGATAGCCGTTATGAATTTTTGGATACAATTTTAAATTATGTTCAGTAATCGGGCGGAAGTTCGCACTTCGCAGCAGCTTGTCAGCAATCATTTCATACATTTATTATACTCAGAATAAATATACAATAAAATAATTTTGGTTTATTTCACCGATTTAATAAAGGTGTAGGCAGTGGTAGCCCAGAGGTAACGCACTCCCTTGAAACCAGGTGAAGTGAGTTCAAATCCCGAGTCTCGCCTCTCTGATATTTTTATTTGCAAATCATTTTCTAATATGATTACCACTTTTGCTACACTTTTCTGCTGCACTACTTCTGCAAAACCTGCATGTCTGACAGAACCTTGCAAGTTTATGGAAGACATGTGAAGTCCGCCAACCCGCACTTGGCCAGCTTGTTGGACTATGACCTGATCCCCTTCGTAGTGAAACCCATAACTGTACCCAGCAGTGGGACGTTAAAAAGGGCTGAATACAAAAATTTAATACTAACACGATGTTTTCAACGATCAAATACATTTCATTGATTTTATTTTTATTCAATAAGCTTTTGTTGTAAGTAAGCCCAGATTTTTTCCAAAAAATACCTATAGAAGGTCTCTATTTCTAGTTAAGTCGAGAAGCCGCATCAAAGTTAATCAACAGAGTTATGAACCTACGGAATTGTATGCTAGTTAATATTGTATTGTTAAAGACATTAAACAGATTAAAAATAGAGAAACGAAGCTACTTAGCTATATATAAACTATTTGTATGCAAAAAATTTAGCTGATAGCTTTCTTTCTACTTAAAGATAGGAAGATCAACGAATATACTATTTTCGCAATGATATTATATTTAAGGATTTACGTTTTAGATGTCAGCCCAATCGACAGATGAGGATCATGAAGGGCAGTTCAACCTGGATGGGATCCTCAGTGAGTTGGGCAGCTTTGGGAAGTACCAACTCCTCCTCCTCATGTTGCTCGCCTTCAGAGACTCCTTCTTGAGCATGTGCAACTTTAACTACGTGTTTACGGCCACTGAAGTGCCGTTTAGGTAAAATATTATATACATATATATTACGTCCTCTATTTTTATTAAAATAGCTATGTATCTGTGATTTCGAAGTAGCTATTTTATATTTTAAAAAAAACATACCCGTTATTCTTCGAGCACCTAAAACAATTCAAATAAAACTTTCACTGATGAGAAAGAAACATTCGAGGAGTAGGTTACAAGGGATAAAAGATACAAGCAGTACCTACAGATTATTTTTAGGGGGATTTACGAGCGAATAATTTGGCAGAAGTGAAGTAGACTCTACGGTTATATTAGCTTAAACTTATTGTATTTACAAATCCTCGATGTTTTTTTTATTATTTGTGCGTCCACACTAAGCTGACCAGCGTATTCTTAGACAGCAATTTCAAAGGGATTATAGAAAGCCAAAACATTTTTAATAGATTAAAGTCAATGTTTACATCAACAAAATAAAAAAAGGGAAAAAACACTAGAAGATTTTTTTAAAATTTACACAACAACTTTCTCCTTTACTCACAGTCCTCGATGAAAACATTACATCTATTAAGAGTAAAAAAAATATTTATTTCACTATTATTAAAACAACTTATTGTTAAAATATACAATAGAAATAAATAATAATTTAATAGGTGTTTCTTTTCATTTACTTTTTACAATCAATACGGTCATAAATAATATCGTTTCAGAATAGAATTGATCATAATGTTGTGAATGAAAGATTCGTTATTCATAACAGGTGCCACTTTGTTTTTAATTTATTATAAAAAAAACTGCTAATATATTTAAAAATTTATTAATTAATATTTCGAACGAATGGCACTTCACTCTTTCACTTGCATGTCGAATGGAATTATGGAAGACACTATTCGTCGTCTCAGTGCTTATTTGTTCAAACCCTTAGTTCCCAAAGTGGTCCAGGTGGACCCCCAGGAGTCCACGGGAGACTTGACGGGGGTCTACGGGGGACAGAATCTTCACATTTTTTGTCGAGTTTTGGGAATCTAGTAGAAATGTAGCTGCAGGGGGTCCACCGAAACCAGCTAAATTTTGAAAGTGGTCTATGAGAAAAAAGTCTAGGAACCTCTAGTCCAAACGATCAATTTACCGTAAGATATTTTAATACAGAACTAGCGACTTATCCTCGCTCCACTTGGTTTTGTCCGGAATTACGTTTTAACTCTTAGTATAAATTTCACAGAAATGAGGTATTTTCCCGCAGTAAAAAGTATCGTATATGTTAACCTGGATAATAAAAAAATGCTCAAAATCTGTCCGTGGTTTCTTCGTGATGTGTTGCCAGACAGGCAGAAAGACAGACAAAAAATCTAAAAACGATTTGGAATTTAAATACCTATTTGGCCTCTGTATCGATAATAATGCCTATTTCAATAAGATTTTCCAAATAATATTTAATGTACATACAGATTCGACTCAGTCAGAATTTTATTATACATATGTGAATTTTAAAATAATTTACACATTTGTCTTCATAAAAAACACATATTATATGACCCATAAATTCTCATTTATCACAAAAGAAGTAAAAAAAAAACAAAGAATTATAAAACAGAGCGTTATAAATATTAGTATTTTAATAAGCATTACATTTCGATTAGCGAATAGTTTACAATCTTTAATGAATGCTTGAATTATTACCGTCCGGCGTGACTGGCACACGTGGACCGACATTATAATCAATAGTGAGTGATGGATACTAAAACATTTTATTTATATTACTTTGTTAATTGATTGTAGTTATTTATTTTGTTATTTTTGAAGTAAAACTTCTTTAGAATCGTTGTGATTTCAAACTTGATGAAACGAAAATGCGACACTAAAATGAGATAAACACAAAAATATATAGGATTAAGCCGGCGAGAGAATGAGATAGAATATTTTGCCATGTTGCCATGGTGACCATCGTTATTTGAGATACACAGGAAGTGAAAAATAATAAAATTAATTACGGAATATTATATAGTGTGTGTTTATATCAAATAAAATGTAATATAACTTTTAAACGTAGTAACTAATTATAAAAAAAATAAACCTTATAATTATCGTACTTATACTCTATATTCATCTCATTCTCTCGTAGATTACAATTAGAATTGCACACACACGTACTTTTTATTTATTTTTATGTCATTCGTCCTATGCAGACTACAATTATATAAGCGAAAGTATGTGTACGTGTGTGTTTGTTTGTTACTTCTTCACGCTGGAACGGATGAACAGATTTAGTAACACAGTCTGAGTAACCCTAATAGACTCTAACTCTAATAGAATGCACTCAATCAAGAATGGGTAAGTCATTAATATATGTATGTATAAAATATAGAATTTTTGAAATGCCAAATTTTAGATGCAGCATACCAGAGTGTGAGTCGTCGCTACGGAGTTTCAACTCTTCGTGGTCTTCCTACACTACTTCTAACAGCTCGTGCCGTCGCCCGCTACTCTTGTCAACCTCAAACATCTCTTGTACTCCTGATATGTTTGATACGAACAGAACAGTGTACTGTGATGATGTCGTATATGAAAACTATAATAGTATTGTTGCTGAGGTTGGTTTCCGAAAATTGCTCTTAATGCCTATGTAAAGTAACCGTAAGAATATAAGAAAAACATATTTCTGTTTCTATTCAAACACTATTCATTGAATTTATGTTTCTGTTTATCATTATTTTATATCAAATATTATTGTTACACATATATAGTTTGAACCTGTCGCTCCACTTTCAGACTAAGTATGGAAAAGTAACAAACATACCGACAAAAACTTTAGATACATTATAAGTTACTAAATATAGTCGACTAGTGAAATTAAAGAGGTTTTTACAAAGAATTAACGTGGATTAGACTACTTAATGTAATATGATTAAAAGTAGCCTTTGATAATAATATCCTGACGGATTTCAGCCACAGCGGCCAGTCTCACTGAGACTAGCCAACTGCAAGAGGTATTATAGTGCAGACACAACGTGCACTCTCTATTCATGTCACTCTTATACACCGATGAGATGACAATCAGGTGCAGGACCGACGGCTTTACGTATTGGCCAAGGCATAGGGGCGAAACAGCGCAAACTTCATAGTTCCGGGACTTTCTAGTTAGGTTTCTTTGAGAAAAACTCAATTGCTAAATTTGACCAGAACTCGAACCCAAGGCCTCCGGATTTGCAACCAAATATACTAGCCACTAGACCCACGAGGCAGTTTAAAAAAAGTAGCCTATATTACTCAGGCTAAACCCATCCGTAATTTGAATGGCAACAGTCACGGTCAAGGACATCTAACATAATATTAGCAAATTATTTTCACCATCACCATTTTTGTAGGTAATTTTGTATTCTCAGTATATAACATATTCCATTCATTATTGTTTGTATTGCGGAAGTGAAAATTATATGGTTGGTAGACGTTGTTTATATTACTTTGATGCCAGAATCATTTATTTATTTTATGATTGTTGATTTTTGTACTTGTTATTGTGATAAAGACTTACATCTTTTATATCTCCATGCTAGTACTTTCTTTTTCCATGATTAGATATCATATAGCATATCTAGGGTATGTGTAAAAGTATAAAAGCACTCCGAAACGCACCCAAAGGAAACAAGGCTTAGTCGCTAATATACAAATAATAACGCAAAATATTTGAATTTGGAAATTAATATTTGTTATAATTACGCTATCGCTTTGTCGTTTTTTATGTTCAATAAACACTAGATTATTATTGTAGTTTATAAAATTATCTCACGAAGAGCTTAATCTTAGCGAGAAATACTAAGTAAAGTACCACAATGCCGCATGATGTTTATTTATTGTTAGTTTATATTAAATAATAAATCGTGCAAAATAAGTGTAATCTATGTGGTCGGCAGCTAGAAATAACTGCATTCGTGACACTATTATATAATGTGTGTTTTTGTGAACTTTAGTTTGTAAGGCTTTTACCACCTGTGGTCTAATTGTGCGGCGCAGATCCGGCGGTCCTGGCTTCGAGCCCCGGTCGATCAAGTTAGTGTGTTATTATCGGATCGGCTAGTGAGTTTTCGTTCAAGAATCTTATCTCTCAGAGAGCATGTAAAACCCGGTTCTGCTTGTGATCTTTTATCGGTCGTGTCGAGTTGGCGTCCTACCGGAGTATAAGAGTGACAGGATTAGAGTGTGTCTGCGCATATACTTCTGCTAGAAGGCTAGATGGTTAATCTTAGTGAGATGGGTCGTCAAGACCGAAATCGGTTATTATGTAACAAAAGGTTAATCTCTCCACGACCGCGGACGCACCGGCGTTACAGTTAACAATAAATTTACCTGGAGGTGTTAAAATCGAATGTAGAGGAATAAATTGCATCTAAATATAACTCTCTCTCACAGTTCAACTTGGGCTGCCAACCTTGGAAGAGAACTCTCATTGGAACAGTTCACAACCTCGGCCTCGTCTTCTCCTTTGTTGTATCCGGAATCATATCAGATAGGTAAATATTAATTTGTCACATATTTACAATTGAAATGATATGGACCTGATGGAAAGGACTAGCAGTAGCATAAATAAATAATAAATAAATAAATATGTTGGGACATTAACACACAGCACCATCTATTTCCATGGTAAGCTACGAGGCTTGTGTTATGAATACCAGATAGTTGATACACTACACAATTATATAACTTTTAATACATATATATTATAAATATAAGCACCCATGACTGGAATACAAACATTCGTGCTCATCACACAATGAATGCCCCCAGCGGGACTCGAACCCGCGACCGCTGGCACAGCAAGTAGAGTCACTACACACTGAGCCAAACGTGTCGTCTAAGCATAAATATGGTCATACACGCTAGAGTATTCTTATTGCTGACATAGCTAACTCTTTTGTAAAAATTTCACGCTTCTAGACTGTAGACTTCGGTTTAAAAACATGACTTACCAAAAATTATAAGAAGGACTTATTGATATTTTATTGTTATAGAATTAACTCGAAGTTCATTTATAGAGATATACGGAAACAAATATGATGTAAAGTAGAATTATCATCTAAGTATTAAATCTTCTAATGTGGGACAATAAATACATAATGTACCGTCTTCATCGAGCACGACATGTGACGTCACACCATGACTCGCGTGTAGTTGAACTTGAGTGACACTAAACTTGAATACATTGTGTTACGATGTTATTGATGGGCTTAGATACTATTATCCGTTGAAAACTACACAAATAATTATATAAAGCTGAAAAGTATATATATTTGTATTGTATAAGTATATATAGTGTTTTTGTGTATGTGTGTTTGAACGTGCTAATCTCTGTTGAAAACTACTTTTTACATTTTGTAGCCTATTCGTTGAAGAAGACTACCTAATAATTAACGCTACTAGCGGAACCATGAGTAAACGCTAGTTTATGATGAAATTCATTATCTGTCTGCAATTTAAAAATGATGACTGTGATTATTTTTACACTATAATATCAAGCGATTGAACTGATTTTAACAGGACTACCGCTGACATAAAATTTGCAACAGTAGCCCAGGTTACTTTTTATCTAGGAAAATATCTTATCATAGAATAATGCTAACAAAGGGCAGGGCAGTTTCAATGAAAACAATTGACTTTAAAGTAATTGTAGTTTCGTCATCGTATATCTTAATACGAGAAAACAAAAATAAAGTAAATTACAAGTGTATTCATGTAATCAAAATTTCCTTGGACTTTAGGATAATCGGTTTAATGTTTCATGCTAAACGATAGTTTTAATTCTAGAGAAAATATAGATTTTTCATCTTATTAAATGAAATCTTATTTTAAAGATGCACGATAACATAAAACATGATTTAAAAATTCATCGGCTGCAGCGTTTAATAGTTTCCTAACGTATTCAACTGACAACATCAATTTTTTGAAAAAGTATTACATTAAATCCAAATAAAATATGTTATATATGTTTAGTTTATTAATTTAAATTCCGTTACAGATACGGACGAAAAGTAATAATCGTGGGAACACCTCTCATGGTCGGGGCGGCAGGTCTCCTGAAGTCAGTCGTATTTGACTACTGGTCGCTGCTGATACTGGAGTTTTTGGAAACCGCCCTTGGTTACGGGAACGCATCTATGATATTGTGTAAGTTCTTGCAAGTTTTAACTAAAACTATGTTTTCGATTTTTTTCACGGATTTATTTTGATTTTTGATTCCCGACGTTTGGAATGCTTTACAGCAATCATGGTCACATCCGCGAAAAAATCCCAAAAGATAGTTTTATTTATAATGTCAAATATTCGCGTAAATCTAAGAAAGTGTTCTTGTAAGTTATTCTTAGATAATTGAAAAAAAAAATTACAAACAAGCAAAAATATTACTAAAAAATATATATAAAAATATTAATATCAATAAATTCGTTGTCTAAAGTATTTCTTTAATTTACTTATCAATCAATTTAAGGAAACCCATTAATATGTAGTTATATTTAATTTGACATTGAGAGATTGAGATAGTATATTGATAAGGAGTTGTAAAATATTTATGTATTTAATAAAATCTATACTAATATTACAAATGCTAGTCTGTTTGTTGGTTTGTCCCTTTTCTACATTCATGGAATGGATCGACGTGGTTTTTATACATTATATTAGTTTATGTGCTGGAGAGTAACATACATAGCCTGCCTTTTTTATTTTAGTACATTAAGATTGGTCCCCGTAGAAAATCAAAGAAAAAAAATTGTTACTTAAAATCATGTTTTTTGTATAAAACAATGTCTATTTTTAGCTTTAGAATCAGTCAGTCGGAAGAACAGAGTGGCTTTCTCTTGCATCTCGGATATATTATCATGTATTGGCGGAGCATTTTTTGGTTTAATTGCTTGGAAGATACCTTACTGGAGGAATATGATGAGGGCTATCTATGCACCACTTTTAATTGTTGTAAGTCTAATTGTTTATTAAATTTGATATTTGTACATTTCCTTATTAAATATTAACAACGTTCAAAAAGCTATAAGAATATCTAAATTTTTAAGTTTCTAGAAACTACTAATTTATCCAAAATTCAAATTAGTAGTAACATAATAAATAATACTATGTGTACAGTCGATAATGATAGCACATAGATATTTCAAGCGTTTTTTCACTTGTAGTCTGTGATGCGCGATTTCACACACATCGCAAGACGAGATGAAGTTGAGGGTTCAATGTTTAACTCAAAAACAAATTCGATGTTTGTTTGTTGATTTTGTTTTGAAAAACAAAAATATCGTATCGTAATCGGAAATATCTTGATGGATTATAATAAGAATTTTTATCATACTGGTTACAATGGAATTATATATACCATAGATAAGTTTTTATCTATCGACCGAGACATATTAATTTAATTTTCCGGTTCTTCTTCATGTTAAGCAACTATGATGTTAATAAAAATACTTGAGATTAAGTCGCAAGACAATCACTAATTAGAAATACGAGCATTCACTATTCGAATCTTTAATCGCTATCCTTATGTTAGTTATGATTTACAGTAAGACTTACAATGAAAAATATATGTACATATACATAGTTTATTATTTAATATTACTCTGCTGATATGGAAACTATTTTGGATTTAGGTATTCTACATATTCCTCATAGACGAAGGAGTAAGATGGCTTTTAGCTCATAACAGAAAAGATGAAGCAGTTCGTGTGCTGAATAAAGTCGCAAAAATCAATAAAATTACGCTTTCTAACAAAGCAAAAGATATGCTTACGAAAATAGGTGGAGATAAGGTTAAAGCAGAAGAGGTAACTATAATATTCATATTGTATTTTAAGCCACAATATATTTACTGTTTTAGTAATATTAGAAGGTTTTGAACATTTAAGTACTAGCATTGGGAACTGTTTTATTGAAAGATGCCCCTGATTCTAAATCGCTTAATTCATTATTTATTTAATACGGCATATTTTATACCTACGCAAAGCTCGCGTGTATCATATATTATATTACAACAAGAAAACAACAATTTCGATATAAATTTCAGATCGGTCAGTCATCGCCAGAGACACTTAGCGTATTATCTGTTCTACGATCAAAGACTATCCTCATCCGAATGGCCATTATGGCGGCCTGTTTCTTCTGCTCCATGTTCGTGTTTACTGGAGCTGTTATCAACTCAACGTCTATTTCTGGCAATAAATATATCAACTATTCAGTAATGATGCTAGTGGCAGTGCCTACCAGAATAGTCACCGCATTAACTCTGACAAGGTTTGGAAGAAAGGCCCCGATATGTATCGCTTATTGTCTGTGTGCTTTCTTTTTTATGGCGTCGGCGTTTGTGCCTAAATGTAAGTTCATGTTTATTTTTTCAGTTAAGTCTAATTACCACTGATAATCCTGTTATCACATAAATACGTTTTTATCTCGATTGTAGTTTCCTGGTCTGACTCAGTGGCGATTTTAAAATCTTTAGGTTATTTAATTAAAAAGGTGTTCTTTTTGTATGTCTAATATGTGTTTGTCGCGTTAGTGCATAATAAAGTCTATCTAAATAATCGAAGTTATTTATAATAATATTCATTATTTTTTTAATATCAACAGCAATCTGGTGGGCGTCTGTCCTTTTGTACATGGCGGGCAAAATGTGCAGTAGCTATGGCTTTTTCTCCATATACGTGGTGGCCATGGAGGTGTTCCCCACAACCTCGCGCAACTCACTTACTAACATCGCCAACACTATCGGTCGTCTTGGGTCTGTGCTGGCTCCGCAGACTCCCTTATTGGTACGTTATAACAACTGGGTCTATTGAATAGAATAATAATTAAAATTTACTATTTTTTCCCTATTAACGAGAGCAATTTCATAGAAAGTCTAATTTTACGTGGATCAAATTGATATTTAGTAGATAAAATGTTTTGAAAATTACCTCGTGCAGCGATAGTGTATTCGATTATGCATATTCGGCTACTTTATTTTGGGTTGGAGCGTATTGTGCGTCATCTGTATATAAGCAAGCTCCAAATAAATAACTAATAATTCGCGATTATAAAAATTGTTATCGGGTATAACTTAGTAATACTTAGTTTATTAATGAATACTTTCTTTATTATACTTTATAGAAGCAGTATTACCAAGGATTACCCAACATAGTTTTTGGGTTCATGGCTCTAGGCCCGGCTCTGATATCCCTATCCCTGCCTGACACAAGCCGCACTGACCTTCCCGAACAAGTAACTGATGCCGAGAAAATTGATGCTCCAAAGAATAATGAAAATACTGTTTCTGCGTGAAACTTAAAATGTAAATAAATAACTAACTAAATTAAATTTATCTGCTTAAAGTTATCTAAGGACAAATGTGAATATATATTATTATATATACAGATCATAATTAGCAATATAAATATAAGTAACAAATACTTAAATAAGTGATATTAATATTAAAAATAGTATTATTTTTGTAAGTTATTATTTAATTCAAAACATAATGTACGGTATAACCTTGTTTTATTGTGGTCAATTTGTTTTTTAGATAATAGAGAGATATTTAGAGATAATTTATCTATACTATACATCAATTATAATTATTAATTGAAATAAATTTAATCAAAGAAATAAAAGTACATGAAGGTCGGACTGATAAGTTTTTAATATAAACGGATAGTTTAAAAACAAATAGTAGTTTCTTAAACTCAACAGTGGTTATTAAAGGAAAACTAAGAATTAATAATGAAATTTAAATGAAGTAGGTATAGGAAAAAATTACAATGCACCATTTGCCCAAGATTAATTATTATGATTTTAATAAATAACATATATAACAAAACGCTATATACATAGTCATTTTAAATTTATTCTGAGTACATACACAATGAAACAATACATATAAAATGGTTATCTTAATCCATTTACATTATGTAAACTGAGAAAAGTCTTAAAGATATGTTAACTCTTAATTGATACCTATATGTATGTATATATAATTTACTTATTATTCTTCGATTTTGATTTTCCTAGTGCTTCTGCCTCTGCAAGGGTATTAGGCATTTTCATGCCCAATGTCTCAGGCTGCGTCAGTACTAAAATACCAGAGAGGATACCCATGCATCCAAACATCATCGATGGGATACCGTGCCAGTAACTCATCTAAAATAAAAAGCAAATCTGATGTGAAAAGAATACGTAACTCTAGTTAGGGACTTTAACGATAGTGCTAATATTATATCGAGTAGCAATAAAAAAAATATAACAGTAACTTTTATCATAATAATTGTGGAGAGTATATTGATAGAGAAATATACACTATACATATAGCATAGTGTACTTAATCTACACATATAATAAAATTGTAACTAAGCCGAATCTGTACATTAAATATTTTTTGGAAAATCTTATTGAAAAAACATTATTATCGATACAGAGGCTGAATCTATAGTTTTTAGAATTTTTGTCTATCTGTCTGTTACCGCATCACAGAAAAACCACTAAAGGGATTTTGATGAAATTTGGTATGGTGATAGCTGATTATCCGGGTCAACTTATAGGATACGTTTTACCGCGATAAAATATCTCATTTCTGAGAAAAAATACAAAAACTGCAATGTAAGAGTATGCTAATATGTAAAACCTTAGAATTTGGTTTCTGGTCATCTCAACACGGGCGGAGCCACGGACAATACTAGTTTTAAATAAAACTATCTTTTCTAAAAGGTTTTAGATGTCTTTGACTAAAGTCGAAATATTCCCTATTAAAATAGGGAAGTGGGCTAGGTACTACCATCAACATAGGGTCCTGTAATTAACATAATAAAATCTAATTATAAAAGTACATATGGTAGAAAGTTAGATGTAGTTATATTCTTACTGTAAAGATCAAAGTAATAGCATTTATTTACAATATAAAATATTCGCCTAAATATAAGAAAGTATACCTAGTGTCCTTCATTCAGGCAAAATTTTGTCCTATATGGCAAAAGAAGTTATGATTTACTATTCCGATTGGTATACGTCTGACTGACAGTGGGTAATCAAAATTAGGTCCCGAAGGTTGCCCTATACATATATTAAATTTATATTATAAAAAAAATATTATCCATTCTATTCATTTAAAAAAATACTTACTAGTGCAGGTGTCAGTGGTGCGGCGATGGAACCAATTCTGCCCACCATGGACGAAAAACCTAGCAGACTATGGCGGTATTGAGTAGGGTAGAGTTCCGATGTAAATAGATATGTAGAGGTCATCGTTACGGCGGCGCCAAATTTACCAAGCAAAAAGACAGCCAATCGTATCCCGTATACATCTTTGAAAATATCGTTATTCCTTTAGATTTAACACGGCAGAAGAGAAGAACTTTATACACAGAACTTGTTGTAGTAACATTTTATTGATATCTTTTTTATCATTATATTTGAGGCGTTATCTAAATATTTCTTAGTGAATGATTTTTGCTCAAAATTCCTTTATATTTAAATCAAGCAAAAATCTAAAATTGCTAATTCGTTCATCAGACAAGAAAAAGTATTTGTAATTCTGGTCGACGGAATTGAAGTGGTGACCTATGGTACAAATATAGTAATAAGTAAGCATTACCTATATATGTATATTAAAAATTTACATACTCATACCAACCTTTAGGAACATAGACAAATGCGATGTTACACGCAGCACTAAAGAAAAAAGCAATTGACAAAGTAGCTTTCCTCCCAATCTTATCAAGTACAAGAAGTGATGTAAAATTTCCAGGAATATCAATGGCCGATATAAGTATGTAGTTTAGATATTTACTCCCAGCAAGGCTTGTTGAGTTGATAGATAAGCCATAGTAGACAAAAGTAGCAGTTATCCACCACATTGGTGTCGTGCATACTCGTCTTAGTAAAATAGGTGACTGAATTATATTCTTAAAAAGGCTTGGACTATCATCCTGTAAAAAATAATAAAATTTAGTTTCTTCAGTAGAATTGTCCGGCAGATTTCAATAAATAAATAAATAACAGTTTTTTATTTTCATTCAAATATTATAATCAGAGTGCAGCCTGAGTTGATATAGCGTAGTATATAGGAGACTTCAATTTTAAAAAAATACTGCTGTTGTACAAAGTTAGATGTTGTTAAAAGTTGGAGGATGAAACTTTTTATTATTACTTATGTGTGTAGACAAATTATTATTTTCAATAAAATTTACTTAGTTTATCATATTTATACGTTACACTCGTCACAAAATAATTATTTATGTTATTCAGTGTTTACCTTTACTGTTGTTGTAGTTTTTGGTAAATTGAATAATCCTTCCATAGATTTTTCACTGATATGTTTCTTATTTATTTTCGCCACTTTCTCTAACACTTCTCTAGCCTGTTCGAATTTACATTTAGACAGTAGCCATCGAACACTCTCATTGAGTATCCAATAATAGCTTATTATTAAGAAACATGGGATATGCAAAACCAATATCATATACCGCCAAGGTGTAACCAGCCAAGCGACACTACCAAGTATTATTTGTCCAACGGCAAACAGAGAGGAACAAGTGGCGCTTGTAACTACACGATATCTAGGTCCAACGAGTTCTGCAGCTTAAATGTATTTAAATTATGATCTTTCAATCAATACTAACGTATCATATAATTACTATAAAAATTTATTTACCAAAAATATAAGCTGAACTAAATGTACCTCCACCTAATGTCGTTTGAAGAATCTGAAGACTTAAATACATTGTGTAATTAACTGAAAACGCTCTTATGACTCCAATAAGTGCCAAATTGAATACACTTATTATGAGTGCCATTCTACGTCCAAAGTTGTCTGATAGATAACCTATGATCGGTAACACTAACAAAGTACCAATACTGTTGAAAGTGCCTGGCAATGCACGCATCCATTCCTGACATCCCAAATTGAACTGTAAAGATTTGCGCTTTTATCATAATAATAACCAAATAATGATTTCTATAATACTTTTCTATGATGTTCGTTTTTAATTTTATAATTGAGAACGCAGTAATTTCCTTTTCTACTTTTTACAAATTGAGACACTGCTTTTATATGAAACACTTGCAATTACGATTTCTAAAATAGACCAAATGTGTGTGTCTATAGTTAATACTAACAGGTAAAACTTATGATTTTCAGAGTCCAATGCTAGCCTGAAAAATCCGTTCTCTTCAGTCATCTTAATAATATGTATCTATAGTAACCAAAAATCTAAATAAATCCGCGAAAAATCCTAAAAGATAGTTTTATTCAAAATGTCAAATATTCGCGTAAATCTAAGAAAGTATAATACATATGTATAGTGTTTTTTAACTCACATCAGACACGACTGTTTTATCCTCGGCATAGACAAATGTCCCACAGGTAACGATAATAGACTTATTGAATAAGCTAACAGGGCAGTAGTCCAGAGTTCCATTTATGCCAATATTAAGAGGATCAAATCTTTGGCAACTTGAAATTCCTGCACTGGTTTCTGGTACAGCATTTAAGATCCAGTCAGGTTTTAAATCATAAAACATGTTATTTTCACCACATTCTGGAATTCGACATCTTAAACAGAATTTCAAACAATAAAAAGCTTTAAAATATTTTATTTTATAATAATTAATTATTTACGTTTACTAAAATAATACATCGTTTCTTCCTAGTCTTCTTATTTAAGTTTCTAGTGATTTGAGTGCCTTTTGCGACTTCTCTTTCATTATCGAGTTTTCTTTATATTTATAATATTATTAGTGACTCATCCTCGTTTCGCTCAGGTCTCTGGGTACGTTTTAAATAGATATGAATAGTGAATGTACGTTAGGAGAAAGACTCATGCTATTTCACTGTTGTAGATTTTTCTGTAAACCTTATTAAGACTTACAATTTTCTAGTACATTGTTTAATGTATCTCTTAAGATTTAGCCAGCGTTAGACACGTAAATTGTACTCGATTAAACGACTCGAAAGGACCAGTTAATGTGATTTCAGTGAGAACTTAAGATTTTCCTGTAGTAAAAGGTCTCCTAAATGTTGATCCGAGTACTAAGTTATCACTACACAAAAGTTAGTTAAAATCGATTCAGTACTTTTTGCATGAAACGCGCACATTGGCTAAGCTACTACCGATGTACTCTAGGTCATATTGTGTCTGTCTACAAAATTGCATCCAAGTCTATGCAGTCGTTTCAGCGTTAAGGTGTAACAAATGTATGCATATATTTACAAACTTTTATAAGTACCATTTACCTGTGTGAAACTGCAGCCGATGAAAAAATATATTCACTCATAAAAGCAGACATAACAATTGGTAAGGCAACTAGCACCATATTCCTCAGTTGAAAACAGCCAAATTCACCCAACTCGTGTTTCAGAACTTCGTCTAAGTCTGTTAGTTCCTTATCATTATTTCGATTTTTCGTAGTTTCTCCTTCACATATCGAGTTGATTTTTTTACTTTCTTCCATTTTTTGTAAAAGTATCTATCACTAACAAGTCTCTCCTAGACTCTTAAAATCTTAAGTTAGAAAATCTAGAGCAGAATTAATTAAGATATTAATTAATATATAATTACCTTAATATAAACTAATTAGTTTATAGATTGCTATATTGTAGGTCACGCTTTTCATGTTTTTTTAAATTACTTCAAAGATGCTAATTCACAGCATTTACTTAAATGATACTATAAGTTATAGGACCATATTTTTAAATTTTTAAATAAATGTTGGGACATTAACACACAGCGCCATCTAGTACCATGGTAAGCTACGAGGCTCGTGTTATGGATACCAGATAGTTGATACACTACACACATATAACTTTAAATACATACATATTATAAATATAAACACCCATGACTGGAGTACAAACATTCGTGCTCATCACACAAATGAATGCCCCCAGCGGGACTCGAACCCGCGACAGCTGGCACAGCAAGTAGGGTCACTACCAACTGAGCCAAACGTGTCATCATTTATATTTTTGTATATTATTCAAATGAATTCAATTGAAACTTCAACATTGACTTTATTTTGCTGATTTTAGCGATACTGTAAGATAATACAAAATGTTATATACTCACAATTTTATAAAAGCATCAACTACTTCACTCGTTTTAACTAAAAATGAATGACATTCTACTGTCTAATATAAACCAAGAGAACTAAGGCTTCTTAGTCCTAGCAGTAACCTATATGTTGAAAGATTTGTTCTGATAACTAGTACAAATAAGACGTAAAACTATAAAGGTTTCCTAACACGCAGTTTATACTACTCATCTCTTTAAATGAGATGAAAATACTAGAAAATTGGAACGGTAGCAATATTATTTGGGGCGAGAAAATTTGCAATCAAGACCATATTTGCAACGAGTGAAATGGAAATGGCAACTTCATTAAAGGAAATTGAAATAGAGAGCGCCAAACTATATGTCAAACTTACTTTTAAAATAGTAGTATTTACCTGTGTGACACTGTAGCCATGAATAAATACATTCAATCATAAAATCAACAAAACGAAGATCAAAGTTATGACAACAGATCACGCCCAACTCCTCCATTCTAATTAATCACTCAAAGATTTCGAAAAAGACAATCAATTAATTTATCTAGGCTCATTAATATTTAACGATGGCGATTATTCAGAAGAAATCCGCCATTGTGCTGGAATGGCCAGAAAGGTGATGGCAGCTCTCGATAGAGTATAGAAGAATCGTGGTATACGTATAGTTGCGGTGAGACTTTAAGAAAATCATCAGTGTTCAATATCCTCATTAATGAGGGAACGGGGAAGAAGACAGATCTCTATTAGACTAAAAAAAATCTTTTACTACGAGTACATACTGTGGCATTACTGACCTTGCTGTTTGATTTAAATATAATGTAAGTAATTTAGTAAATTAAAAAAAATATGTGTGTGCTACTTACCTAAAAGTAAGTCCGACATCCGGGCTTGAATCCGGTACACTTGGTTTTCCAAGCGAACGCGTTACCACTGGGCTACCAGGTACTAATGCCTAATATTATTTGATACTATGTAAACCTTCCGGAGAAAGATACTCGTATCTTAATTAATTCAATAGGTGAGATAACACAGTTGTAATAACAGACGTACAATTACAATTTGAGATGATATCTATAGTTGCTATATTTTTATTAGTTTTATGTTTTTACAATATTGTCAGTTCTTAAGTTCTCTGTATTATTGCAAATTTTGTACACCTTCAACGAATTTACATTAGCTATATAGATTTTCTATAGATATTTATATAGTTTTGATAGTAGCATCTGTCACACGGCATTTTCGTCGCATGTTTACTATTTTTTACCATTAACTTAAATGTGAAAACACGTCTGTTTGTCTTTTCAACCTAATTCAGAGGAGGAGATTCTATGTTCATATCTATGAATTTTATAAGAAGCAATTTTATCCGCTGCGTGGTTTTGTGATCTGTTGCATGGAAATAGTATAAGGCGACCTGGATAGTGTGTGTGATGATGTGAAGCAGGCTATTTCTCTTCTAAAATTATCAGATGTTTCCTGTACGGTTAAGGACGTTAGAATTAAATAAATATCGCCTATGTGAAGCAAGAATGACTCATGATTAAAACATATTAAAAATATATTTGATATAGCGAAAAATAATAATGTGTGTATGTTGCTTAAAATACGGGGAGATATAATAATTGAAAAATTCTATATGTATGTAGAGTACAAAAAATTATGTATTTCCATATACTATATTTAATATTTAGTAAATTATACTATTTATTCGAGTGTTTTTAAAACTGATTAAAAATATTGTATATTTTAGCTACTCAATTTTTTTATGAATATGTATGTATGTATGTGCATATGTGAAATGTCATTAATATGACAGGAGGCAGGTCAGCAAACACGCTGTGATTTTTTAATTCTTCCGAGATTTTCTGCTTCTGCGAGAGTATCAGGCATCTTGGTGCCTAATGTTTCAGGCTGAGTGAGCACTAGGAGACCAGAGAGTACTCCCATACATCCAAACATTACTGACGGGATGCCATGCCAATATTCCATCTAAAAATGATTACCAAGATTAAGCTCGTTATAAGACTTTGTAAAATAAATTTTTAAGCCTGCCTCCACAAGCTAACGTCACACTATTATACAGAAGTGTGTTATGTGTTGTGCGAAATAATATCTTCTGCGCAGTTGTTTAGCATAGTATAAAAATTATTACAGTAGGCGATGGCCAATAAGGGCTACCGCGCTTGGATTCGCTGCGAGGGGCGCTAGTGTAGAGTGAGATTTCTTTAACTGAGCTTTACATTGCGGATTATACTAATTATTTATTTATACTGATTATTGTAAACATTGTGCCATTGCTGATTAATTACATCAGACAAGGTGGGGCTCAACAAATGTTATTGCTTTAAAAGAAGAGCTAAGAAAAAGTCAATATTTTATCTATTTGTTTATTATATATTAATTATGTAAAACAAAATCGTGATAAACTGGTGCCGCGCTAACATTATTTATAATATATTAAATTGACGGCCCGCCCCTTGCGATAGAACCTTACTCATCAGTAGCGCCAATTGGTGCCGACAGAAATGATATCCCTCATGGTAATACTGTTAAACGCCAGGGTTGTAAAAGCTAACAATTTTAAAGCATAGCAGTGGCAGCTCGTGACTAATCACAGTTATCCTACCAATCCTAAAGCATATTTCTACTTTCTACCTGCCATAAAAAAATCAATAGAGATAAAATTAAACAAAGACGAGCGATTCAATAAAGTCGAGTGCACCTCATCCGCGTTCTTTATCGACAAGTAGACTGTATTAATTCATATCCCTAAATATTTTTTTCTAAGTATATACCTAATATAGCGACTCACCCTCGCTTTGCTTCAGATTCATCCCTAGACTAAAACAAATCTATCCCACGGGAACCATACATTTTTCTGGAATGATATATAGCCTTCCTCAATTAACGGGCTATCTAATGTAAAGAGAATATTTCTAATTGGTTTTGTAGTTTCTGAGATTAGCGCGTTCACACACACAAACAAACTCTGTCTTTGATAATATTAGTATAGATAACATTTTAGATTAGACAGATTAACCTTTAATATGTATAGATGGCGCTGTATTAAATTAGACTACACTTGTGCAATCTAACACGGACAGGTAACATTATACAATCGCTTTATTTTTATTTAAATTAATAGATTAGATATAGACATGTATGAATAATACATATAATTAATCAAATGTTCAATGTTATTCTGATACATACGAGTATCAGTGATATCATAATGTCCTTCTGGTCGATTTCAATCTCAGCGGCTAATCTTATTCTATTTTGATATCATATCAATCGATCAATCGAGTTTATAGTTTACAAGAATGCGTGCAATCCAGAAGCACTATCTATTTCTTTTACCGACAAATCGACCGGTTAGAAATCAGGCGTAGAACCTACGACTTAAGGTACTTTCTACGAGGCACGGTCAATGCACCACAAAAATTCCAGAAATTATTTTGTCCTGATCCGGGAGTCAAACCCAGGACCTCAACTTCAACAGTCTTACAAACTATGCACTAGATAAACAAAGTCATCAACTTACAAGAACAGGTGTGAGAGGTGCAGTAATAGCCCCAATACGACCAATCATAGAGGAAAAGGCAAGAAGACTGTGTCTGAATTCCGTCGGATATAACTCTGATGTGAACAAGTATAGTGATGTCATTACCATTGAAATGCCAAATTTCCCCAACAAGAATATAACGAGCCTCAGTGCTGTTAAATCTGAAATTTTATTTAAATATTAGATACACAGCTTAACTGAAAATATTCCAAGTAATATTTGTCCGATAATCGGAAGAATTAAAAATATATTGTTTGTTCTAATATTACTGGTTTGTGATAAGTAGTTGCAACTTTTTAGTGTTCCTATAAGAATAACAATAGTTAAAATATTATGTTACGAATATAGATATGATTGAATGGGCTTAAATTAGAAAACTTTATAGCGCAGTACGAGTATGTTGGAATTGCCCTATTTTATTATAATGCAGATACGTTTTGTTAGTACAAATGTTTTAGATTCATAAGTTTGGGCGCTTTTTTTACACATAATAACTTTTGGATCTAAAAAAATCTTTATAACTCGATATTTGGTTGGGATGAAACCAATTCAATTTTTAGTTCGGTAGATTAAGGCTATTTTTTTTTGTTTTTGCTCATAAAAGCTCTTGCACCCAGAATTCAATTATTTAAATTAGAATATAAAATTAATATATAAAAGTAGCATATTTTCAAGAAAATAAAATCACCAACCAATTATAATCTTTAATGTCTGGTAGATAAGAATTGTTTTATTATCTTAGGATGCAGAAATATTCTCCTAAAAATTCCATTGTTAGCTCTATAACTCATAAGCTATGGTGATTTTATTTTTTTACACATAAAAAACGTTAAATCTAGAAATAATCAAAATTTGACTTTTTTGGACACAAACTCTAACACGTAAAATTCAATTATTTTATTTTATAAGCATTTAAAAAATGGTAGATATTAATCTGACAATAGTCGATCGACAAATATTATCGGACGACGAGCAACAGCCAGTAATATTATTATTACACTTTATTAATCATCATCCATCATATATGTATGTGACAATTAATTGATAACAAACATATTTTAATATTTTTTTCTCAGTTTTTTCTCCATTTTCTGAACAGAGGGAACAGTTACTCTACGGATTGTTTTTGTTCGTGGCAGTACTTATATAAATTATACTTCCAAAGTTTGAAATGAGAATGTAAAGAACAAATAAAATTTTATTAAAATTTTGAATTTAATAAAAAGAAATTCTTTAGCTATTTTAGCCTTTGCTCCTTTAGTACAAAATAAAAACTTACCATCTGGTATAAAAACGAACGCGATGTTACATGCAGCGCTAAAGAAAAATCCAGACGACAAGGTAGCTCTTCTCCCTATTCTATCCAAAACTAAAACTGCAGTAAAGAACCCAGGAATTTCTATAGCACATGTCAAGATATAGTTCAAATATATTGTTTCAGACAGACTGGTGGAGTCAATGGACAGTCCGTAGTAAACGAAAATTGTGGTGATCCACCAGATCGGTGTCGTGCAGACTCTTCTTAGCAAAATGGGTGAACGTAATATTGTGCCCACTAAATCATTCTTTTCGTCCTGAAAAGATAATAAACAATATTTCTGGATGAGAGTAAAAAAAGCTAGGCAGATCGTGTCTTTCGTTTTTGGTGGAGCAAGTGGACTGTAATTTTGGGGGATGCGGGAAGGCGTATTACCTCCCGAGAAGGGAACCCCTGCCGGTGATGGAAACACCACATGCAAAAAAAACAAAAGTTCAGGGACTCACCTTCTGCTGCAACTCCTATCTCCGCTTCCATGAAAATTAGCACAGGGCACTTAAAGTTCGTATAGTACAGAGTAAATAAAAGTTTATAAGCGTATAGGGCGCGGTCAACCTGCGCGCGCGCGGTGCGGGATGATAGTTAATTACGCGGAAGCCGTGTTAATTGTTACACGGTATAACGACGACTGGGGTGAGTGCATCAGCGCACTCACGCGGCTTATCCCATCACAATTGCCTATTTGCAAAATAGCGCAACCATCCCCCCGGCCTTTAGGGTTTCCCTAAACAAGAAAAAGGGATGGGAAAGGAATATAATGAGAATTAAGGATGGGATAAAAAATTACAAATACGGAACGAAATGAAGCGGATGAGATGCGTCGCGGATGCTAGCGGAATATAAATTAAAACGCGGAAATAAGCTATAATGTAACTTAGTAACTATGAAGTAAGTTAAACTAAAGATTTAACGTAAACTAAATGCGACTAAAACTAAATGAAAATGTATATGAACTTTACTGATTGGGCAAAGGACAAAGTTTTGCCACTGGGCGCACGTAAGTACCGGTTTGCGTGCGCACACGCGCTACCCTGATAACACCATCGGAGCCAGGGTGGACCTCGTCTATGACAGCAAGAGGCCAATTAAGCGGTGAACAATTATCTGATTTTATAATAACAATCAAGCCTTTCCTAACTGGATTGGATGGCGTGTTCCATTTTAAACGCGTTTGCAACTCTGAAAGATACTCCTTTCGCCACCGATTCCAGTAACTTTGAACAAGCTTGTCGAGTAATTGTTTGCGATGTAATAAATTAAGATTTGCATTTTCGCATGGAATGGAATGAAACGAAGTCAATGGACCTAACGTTAAAAAATGAGACGGGGTTAACGCGGTTGGTTCGGAAGGATCCGAACTCATGACAGTAAGTGGACGCGAATTGAGCACGCACTCAATTTGTGTAAGTAATGTATACATTTCTTCGTAGGTAAGCAACGTCTCGCCTACGACGCGTTTGAGATGAAGTTTGACACTACGTATGTTAGTCTCCCATACACCACCAAAATGAGGCGAATTAGGAGGGTTCATACTCCAATTGATGCCGTGAGATACAGCCTCTGCATTAAAAGATTCGCGAAACGATTTAGATTTAAGAAATTTATGTAACTCATCGAAATGCGTCTTGGCGCCAACAAAGTTGGTACCATTGTCAGAAAACAAATTTAAACATTCACCGCGGCGCGAAATGAAACGCTTAAAAGCCCGTAGAAATGACTCAGTGCTAAGATCGACAGCAAGCTCTAAATGCACTGCTCTCGTAACAAAACAAGTAAAGAGACAAATATATGCCTTTTCTTTACGTGCGCCTCTGTACCTACTTATAAGAATGTTATAAGGTCCACCATAGTCAACGCCCGTATTCATGAAGGGCTTGGCTTCGTTTACTCGAGGAGCGGGTAGAGACGCCATGAATGGGTTTAACGAACGCGGGTTTGATTTAAAACATTTATTACAATTCCTAAATCGTTTTCGTACTATATTACGACCAGACATTATCCAAAATCTCTGTCGCAACAATGATAAAAGAAGATGCGGTCCAGGATGTAAAAACCTGTGATGATAACTATCTATAATCATTTCCGTAATGCGATGATTTTTAGGCAATAATATAGGATGTTTGGCGTTAAATGACAGTGAGGATTTATTTAAACGTCCTCCTACGCGGAGTAAACCATCTTTATGAACGAACGGCGCATATGGTAACAAAGATTTCGAGACTTTGCGGTGTGAATTGATTGCCGAAATGTCGTTCTTAAAGACATGCGATTGTAAACAACGAAGAATAGTTACCTCAGCAACCTTAAGGTGTTCAAACTGTAAAAAGTCAGAGCGCGGAAGTTTACGAGTGAATCTTAAAATATAAACAATGATACGAAGTAGTTTGTCCCACGAGGACACGCGTGACGCGAGTTGAAGAAGAAAATTTTCTTCAGCGACTACGGTTGCGGTGCAGACAATAAGAGATGGATTAATATTCTTATATTCATAAACTTTATCATTCGCGGTGTCATCAAATGTGAACCTATTGAGAGGCCACGACGCGGGGTTGTCACGAGCCCATTGCGGGCCGTGCATCCATAGCGGATGAACTAATAGTTGCGCGGGAGATAAACCTCTAGAGATGCAGTCACTAGGGTTTTGTTTTCCATCAACATGGAAAAAATGACGCGGCGTGAGATACTCTTGTATCTTAGAAATACGATTGGCCACAAAGGTGTCAAATCGGTGCGGAGACGAATGTGTCCAGTGTAAAGCCACGGACGAATCAGTAAAAGCAAACACGTCATCAACTGTACAACGTGCCGCTATTGAGTCGCGGATAAAATTAAGCAGCTGTGCCATGATCAACACAGCGCAGAGTTCTAGCCTGGCCAGCGAGACGGTACGTGTCGGAGCGACGCGACTCTTGGCCATGGCCAGCGTGACGCGGTTTGGTTCTCCTGGAACCACAACACAAATATAAACAACGGCTCCATAGGCTCTCTCACTTGCGTCAGAAAAACCAAGAAGAAAAACGCGGTGTGTATCAGATGTGATACCAAAAAATCGCGGTATTTGAAAATTATGTAAAAGTGGTAACTCATTTATAAAAGTTTTCCACGCGGTGCAAATATGTTCAGACGGCGAGTCGTCCCAACCGATATGGGCGAGCCATAAAGCTTGAATTAATAATCTCGCATATAAAACTACTGGAGCACAAAAACCGTTGAGATCCCATAGTTTAGCTACGGTAGACAACATGAGACGCTTTGTACACTCAGCCCGCGGGGTAAAATTAATAGCAATACGAAAAATATCTTCGCGGGGACACCAACTTAAGCCTAAGATTTTAAGTGAATCATCATTGTCAAACTGAACCTGGCTTGACAAGCGATTTTCAACCGGGATCGCGTTCAGGACCTCTGTCGAATTACTAACAAATTTAACTAAGTTAAATCCGCCGCATCTAAACAGTTCAATTAAATCCTGTGCCAGGCTAGCGCCATCTGCAGACGAATGAGTCGAAATACACAAATCGTCCATATATATGTAGTTTGATGCTATATCAGCAGCAAGCGGAAAATTCTGCTGCTGCTCAGAAGCGAGCTGTCGTACAGCGCGCATTGCGAGATAAGGACTGCAGCGCAGGCCGAAGCAAACGCGGTTAAAATTATATAATTTTACGTCGCTTTCATTCGCAAACCTATAAAGAATATTTAAGAAACGACGATCCGATTTGCGAACTATTAAATTTAAAAACATTTGTTTAATATCAGCGGTAAATGCAATTTTAAAAAGTCGAAAATTTAAAATAATAGCGGTGAGGTCTGTTTGTAAGTTAGGGCCTGAGTGTAAGCAATCGTTTAAAGACATTCCTGACGTTGTCTTGTGACTAGCGTCTAATACGACACGAAGTTTAGTAGTAAGTTTATCTGAGCGACAAACACCATGATGCGGTATAACGTAGTATGGATCCTCCACGTTCAATGGAGGCGCGGGTTCGATAATTCCATTTTTTAAATATTCGCGGAATATCGCGTCGTATTCCTCACGAAGAAGAGGGTTTAAATTAAATTTTCGCTCCAAAATGTTATAGCGACGACGCGCAGAAACTAGAGAATCCCCTAAGCAAGAAGGATCGCGGTTAAACGGTAACGCGGTAACGAAGCGACCAGTGCTATCGCGGGACGTAGTAGAAACAAAGAACTGTTCGCACTGGTGCTCAGCGGGAGATAAATGTTTTTTAGACGGTACCTCCTGTAAAGACCAAAACCTCGTAACTAAATTTTCAATTGAGTCTTCAGTCGAAGTGAAAAACGTATGCGTGGATGTAGAAGTCATAGGAAAATCAACTAAGTTTTCAAGCGAACCTAAAATAATGTATCCAAATGCGGTTTCAAATGCGTCCGGTTTCCCCGGGGGTCCGACCACCTTACCAGGGCGAAGGATCTCGGTAAAAACTTCAGAACCGAGAATCAAGTCTACTTGACCAGGTACGTAAAAGTCCGGGTCAGCGAGCGCAATATTATTTAAATAATCTATTTGTTTCGCGTCTATGTTTGTCGAAGGTAATTTATCTGAGATTTTATTTAAGACGAGCGGGTTAATACGAAGCGTGTAACGCGGATCGTAGTGAGAAGCTAAAGTCAGCTCTGTAAAAGTACCTATAGACTGCGTCTCATAATCGCCAATGCCTTTTATTGAGAGAGGATTATTAATAATCTTTGTTTTAATTCTTAAAAATTTACAACATTTTTTCGTTATAAAATGATTTTGAGAACCCGTATCTATTAAAATTCTAATTTGTTTGAATGAGCCATCGCTACAAACAACGTAAGCGCGAGCGGTACCTAACAAAACGTGACTACTATGCGCGGAGGCACGCACAGTGTTCGCCATAGCGCATATTACGTCATTAGCCGTATCGGAATTGCTATGCGACGCTGAGAGAACTTGCGCTGTCGAGTGTACGGGTGATGATAACGCGCCACTGCCGTGCGAGCGAGAGGCTGCGCGCGCAGCGTCGCGTGCGGGTGAGAGCGGGATAGCATTACCACGAGGCGACCGCGACCGCCGCGGCGGCGAGACGTACGCGGCTCGCGCAGGGACGTTTTCCCTTTCAGATTGCGAGCGGCTACCTTTATTTTTGAAATGCGTGTTATCATTAAAATGAAGCATAGTGTGATGCAAATGTGAATTGCAATGTTTACAGGCATTAGACGATTTACAAGTTGATGCGGTATGTCGTAAACTGAGACAGTTTACACATGAATGGTTGCGCTTGACAACCTGATATCGTTCACGCGGATTCATGTCGTTAAACTTAGAACAGTTGTAATAATGAGTATGAGTTTTTAAAGAACAAACGGGGCATGCGGAATTACTATTTACTAAAAATGACTTTACAACGTTTTTAGAAACAAGCGGTAAATTTGAATGAGGTTTAGACTTAGAATTTAATGAACCATGACGTTGTATGATTTTAATTTGATCGCGGACAAAAGAAAGTAAATCGTCAAGTTTTGGAATTCCACAATTTCGGTTTTCCATTTCAAAAGCGCGGGTGGTCTCACAATCTAGTTTTTTGAGAGCTATATATAACAAAATGAAATCGCTTAGATTATCAAATTTTAAATTATTTAATGCGGATACAGAAGATGAAAATCTATCTATAAAATGTTCTAATTGTGACGCGGAAGAAAGTGGTTTGTATTCAAATATAGTATTTAAATAAGTGGTCGCGAGAAGCCGCTTGTCTTCGTATTTAGAGACGAGGGCGTTAAATATTATTTCGTAGTTATCAGGTGACGGCGTAATGTCTGCATACACCGACAATGCCTTGCCAGTCAGCTTGCCTATTAAATAATATAACTTATCAGATGACGTCAAAGTAGGGTTGTTATGTATTGTGTCGACAAAACTAGAATAAAATAGCGGCCAGTTGCGCGGGTCACCGTCGAACCCTTTCAGTTCTATTGGTGGAAGTCTAGGCTTCGAATATGAGCTTTGACTAGCGGGTTTGTTAGTGAGACATTTAAGTGAAACTTGTCGCTTAATATGACAATACAAGTCTTCGAAAGCGTTGAGTTTTTTGAAATCTGGCTTATATTTAGGATTTACCTCCATGTTAAAACGATTTAAATCATATAAGACCTTTTCGAAGCTACTACGAACCGATTCTAAACCCTCAGCACGAGTAACCAATGTCTCGATATCTGCGTCACTATTAAGCCTACATGACAAATCGTAGATACTTTGAATACGTTCAAAGTACGCGGAAAGTTTAGCCTCAAGCATAATAATATTCATTTCTTGCGGAGACGTCATATTTAACAAACTATATAACTGTTTTATATATTATAAATTAGGCGAATGAACGAAATAACTAAATAAAATGAGTAGGTATGACGGTAGTTGAAATCGTATGAATATAACGAACAAAAGAATGCGGTGTGCTACGTTAGCACAAAATATGTTATGTACGTAAATTTAAATATTTACGTATTACAAAACCTATCTATTTTACAGATAGAAATGGATGCGGGACGAAATATAAATAAATGATATAAAATGTATTCACTTATTTTATAATGCGATGCGATGCGAAATACATATCTTAACTTAGTACATTAAAATATGTTTTTTAAATATATAAACGGGATGAAACAGTTACGAAATGAGTACGTGGATACAAATAAATATTAACTATTAAGTTATGCGATGTTAAGATAGGCAAGAAAATTACTTTCGCGATGTGTACGCGCAGGTCTATATTAAAACAAATTAAATAAATGATATTATGTAACAATAAAAATATGATGATGAGAGTAAAATATTACTTATTGCGGTAGGTACTTGTACTATACACGTTCTAGAACAAAAAATGGCGTAGCGCGAGCGATGCGATCGTTTCGAAAGGGAAGCGGGTAGGTAATTGTGGAAATAATTTCAAGGAATTGGAATTAATCCGACGCGAAGTGACCAAAACTTTATGGTGGAGCAAGTGGACTGTAATTTTGGGGGATGCGGGAAGGCGTATTACCTCCCGAGAAGGGAACCCCTGCCGGTGATGGAAACACCACATGCAAAAAAAACAAAAGTTCAGGGACTCACCTTCTGCTGCAACTCCTATCTCCGCTTCCATGAAAATTAGCACAGGGCACTTAAAGTTCGTATAGTACAGAGTAAATAAAAGTTTATAAGCGTATAGGGCGCGGTCAACCTGCGCGCGCGCGGTGCGGGATGATAGTTAATTACGCGGAAGCCGTGTTAATTGTTACACGGTATAACGACGACTGGGGTGAGTGCATCAGCGCACTCACGCGGCTTATCCCATCACAATTGCCTATTTGCAAAATAGCGCAACCAGTTTTAATCTTAAAATATTAAATGAGCAATTCGTGTATATATGTATATAAGTATATACATTTATTTTGTGTATCTCGAAAACGTTTCTAACGATTTGGATCAAATTTTGTATTTCTGTGTGTGAAAAAAACGGAATTTTACACAAAATACACATTTTTTTAACGTAATTATTCCAGCCTTTTTCTAACTGCTCTCATGCTGACAATGTTATATTGCACCATCGCGTAATTTTTTGTAATACTTCCATTGTCGCCAATGGATGATAACCTACTGGACGAGCGACTTCACCGAGCGAGGCCCGGTCGTTTAGTTACTTAAAATAACATTAATAATATATGAATATAGAGGTAGACCAAGGATATTTACGGACTATGTGGAACAGAATATTATGTGCGAAAGATGTATTTTAAGATAGCGGTTGATAGTGGGAAGTGGAAGAAGGAGTATTTTGTGCCGACCTCACCTAGCGTGGTATAAGGGCGTGAAGATGAAGAATTTAACATTAAAATAGTTTAAACGTGATCATATCATGTTTATAATGTATAACTAGTAATTATTCAATGTTTTCAAAACATTCACAAAAACTATCACTTACTTTTGGCAGATATGATGAAATCTTGGAGGAGTTCACGAGCGCATCGAGGGATGTAGAGCTTATATGAGTTTTGTTGACTCTCGCAACAGCTTGTAATACTCTCTGAGCTTCTGAATACTTCTTTTTACTTAATAACCATCGTACACTTTCATATAAAAGCCCATAGTACATGATTATAAGGAAACCAGGAATATGAAGAGCCATGCTCATGTAGCGCCAAGGTGGGATTAGCCAGGCTACAGTGCCAAGTACTACTTGCCCTACGGCGAATATTGAAGATAGTGTAGCACTTGTCAGGACCCGGTATTTTGGGCCTACGAGTTCAGCAGCTGAAATATATGTATACATACGTACAAAGATAATTTCAAATCCTAATTTGATCAATTAATTGATAATGAAACTAGATTCTGGCTTTTTAAGTGAATAAAATAATATAGGTACGTATAAGATTTCACGACTCATTCGGGTTCGAACCCACAATTCATTCAGCCTCTAAATCACGCAGACGCTCTATTCAACTAAGCTGCGTATTCATTTATATCTGTATAGCTAGATAAATTTTCAAACAAAATTAAATTATTTAAATATTGTTTTTCCTTTCGTTTACTGACACTTATTACCGAAAGCAATTGAATTACAAGATATAAGGCTGATTTAAGACGAGTGCTGGATAAACTTTAAGACTAAAATGCTTAACTTAAAATAAGTACCTCAATGACTAATCAGAAAGGAATGAGTAATATAATATATATTTTGTGCTACAGTAGCGCAGCTAGTAAGTAGGTAACGATACTTTACGGACAAGATGGCGTACGTAATGGCAACGTCAACTTAAGTTGAGAATATTTGTTATTTAGTGTAAATTAATTATTATTGTTGTTAATAATATGCATCAGTGGTGTAGTGTAATATGTATATGATGGTTTCAGTTAACAATACAATACGTACTTTGTCTAGTCATCATATTCGGCCACAGATCCGGAGGTCCTGGGTTCGAGTCTCTAGTCGGCACAAGAATTATATCAATTAGGTTTTTCTGTCAAGAAATTCTTAGTTACGACGGAGTATGGAAGTTGGCATTGTTTCACTACTGTGCCACATAGTGTAAATCTGTTGGTCCTGTACCTAACCCACTGTTGTTCTACCGGAATATCAGAGTGAAAGAGAGTGCATTTGTGGTTGCACGCAAAATTGCGAAGTAGTAATATCTCTTGTGTAGTTAACTCGTCTCTGAGAGATTGGCCATCCTGGCCGAAATCGATCATTACTATAAAATAAACACAAAACATAATTATACAAACCAAAAATGTAAGCAGAACTGAATGTGCCAGCACCAAGTGTAGTCTGTACAATTTGAAGTGCCATGTACATGGTGTAGTTCACTGAGAAAGCTCTAATAAGACCGATTAGACTTAAGTTGAAAACATTTACAACCAGCGCGAACCTCCGTCCGTAGCGATCAGAAATATATCCAGTTATGGGCATTGCTAATAATATTCCAATGCTATTTAAAGTGCCTGCAAATGCCCGTAACCATTCCTGACAACCGAGGTCAAACTGAAAATAATCTAAATTTAACTGTACAGTTAAAAGCTAAGTTTACTTTTAATACTATATTCACAAATAAAGTTTCATTATTTGTTTTAAATACAGTAATTTATTCTTATTACTTTAAGGTTGAAGTGAGGAATTTTTGTTTTTGTTGTTTTGATTCCATATATTTTTAGTTCAACCAAAATAACTGGACTTCGTTCAGTTAAAAAATATTTTATTACAATTTTATTACATTTCAACTTACATCATATACTACTGAATTGTCCTTCATATACACATAGCCATCGCAACTGGTAGTTCCAGAATGATTGAACAAAGTAGCTGGACAAGAATCTAAGGAGCCATTGGTTTTAAGTTTCAGCACAACGTATCTTTCACAGCTTGCGAATCCAGAGTCAGTTTTTGGAATCACATTTAGTATCCATTCAGGGTCATATTTTTGAATTTTTTCATGTTCATTGCATTCTGTGATGCGACATCTGAATTAAATCAACGGTGATATAATAGATCACAAAAACGCAAACTTACGTACGTTAATAAATATTAACAAATTAATAAAATATATTATTCTAAATTTTAACTGGCCCCTACACAATAATTACTGTTCACTGCTTCAAAGGATATGCACTCCACTTCGATAAAAATATGAATCAGTATTAAAATTGTTATAAGTGACACTTTTCTTTTATAAAACAATTTTAAATAATAGTTACCTGTGTGGTATGGCAGCGGCAGAGAAGATGTATTCACTCATAAACGCAGACATCATTATAGGTATGGTCACCAGAAGTATATTTCTTAGCTGAAACCGGCCGAACTGCCCCAACTCGTTGACAAGCACATCATCAAGATCGAATGGTTTCTCACCAACTGTTTCCCTATTAATACTTTCTTTGCTTTCTAATGCTATGTCTGTTCTTTTATCTACTTGAGACATTGTAATAATTGTTGGCTAACGCACCGCCGCGTCTGCTGACAAGAGTCTCAAATGAATGAGTTTGTACATTTATATTTAGGTCAATCATTGCTTGTTAGGATCGATGGTCCATACATACACATTACACATATCGTGTACACTCGTTTGTGCTGTGATGCCAATCAATTCGAAATTAGCAATTTTATTAATCCACTGTTTGTATCTCATGTACGTTAATTTATACGTATTCGTGTAGCTATATCTGACATGATTAATGAAGCATTAATCTGCGCTAGCATCCAGAATTATTATTCGGCGTTTCAATGAGTTACTATCGTCACATACCGATGGAAGAGCAACCAGCAAACAGTATATAGTAGTAATACAAAACAGGAACCTTTTAATGATCCGAAATAAATAATCTTATATTCTTAAGACCATAAATTATTTTTATGCAAAAAAATATTTAATTGAAATATTTTATTTTAGTTATAATTCATATATATGTTAGTTTTAAAGTATATATTATGCTATAGGCCTCTGTTTACATAATTAAGATCTTTTTATAAATATTGCCTGAAATAAATGATTAAAATAAAATAAAATATACAAAAAAAATAACAATGTGTTGATATTTTTTGTAAAAGGCGAAAATTTTATTTATTGTAACAAATTCTAATCAAATTATTTACTATTTTACGATTACGTGGATTTCAAATTATGATTGCTTATGAATGAATGCTGATATGTGCATACTGCAAATAAATGTATGCAAAGAAATACATTCTGTATATATCTATCGAATACAGATCTATCTGCGTTCTGACGAGACGAGATAATAATTGTGAGGAATTGACTGCACTAACGTTCTTTAAATTAAATTGACGATTTAAAAGCGCTTATAATAAGTCTAATTGAATAAAGCTTATTTCATTTCAGATTGATTAATCGATGAAGAGCTTGTTGTTGTGAATAATAAGAATAATCTACAAATGAAAGGAACCTCCACAAACTAAAAAGCCATGAGATAATTTCTTATAAAGCATTCCAGACTAATTCGGAATCATAATTTTATAATTTTCCTACTCTGCCACGTTTTAGAGTTTGTCATATAAAGGAATATCTAGTAATGATAACCCCAAAATGCGATTATTTAGACTTATCTAAAATTACGATTTAATTAGTGATAGTATACTGCACATTTGGACTCTCCTCGTCTCATCATCTAGACGTTTCTAGTGTTGCGACTCAACTACTAATACGAATACAAGATGTTTGTTATATAAAATTAAATAAATAACTTCAGCCCCGATCCCCAATCCAATTAAACTTCTTGAACTTCAGACTTCGGTCCGTCCCAGTCCTGAGCTGTAGGCAAAATGAAACCTTTAAGAGATTTAGTCATTAATGTGCTATGTAACCTTTTACTATTCGTTGAATAGCTTTCGTAGCGATCATTTTAAAGATTATTGAACTTTTATACACTACAGTTTGCTTTGTTCATTTTGTCTCGTAACTAAAAGATTTAAAGGAGAATAAATAGAGTTATGTTACAAAAAACACACTACTATTATAATTGCAAAATTTTGTGTTTGTGTGTGATGTGTGTGTGTGTGTGTGAGCGTGTGTTAGCGTGTGTTTTAATACTCCTTCATGCGAAAACAGTTAAATGAATTGAGATTAAATTTATTCTACAGACTAGCGATTCACCCTCGCTCCGCTCGGTTTCGTCCCTACTTACGTTTTATCGTTTAGTATAGATTTCTCAGAGATGAGATATTTTATCTTAGTAAAAAGTATCCTATATGTGGTCCCGGACAACCACCTATCATCATACCTAATTTCATCAAAATCCTTTCAGTGGTTTTTGCGTTATCCAATGTATTTGTTTTGCTCGAATACTTACTGTGTATAGGTTTTTTTATAATATCTGTACCACAAGTGGTGTGGAGGCTCTCACTAAACTATCAGATAATAGTTATATATAATAATAATAATATAATAATAATAATATAATAATAATTTATTTATTGTACTATATAAAGTGACAATATAAGGAGTTAAAGTAAGTAAAGCAAGTTGTACAAAAAGAATAAAAAAAATAAGTTGAACTACTATCTCCTAAACTAAGCCAAGTTAATACAAACTGATACACATCACTAGCAATTAGTTATCTTAGGACTATCATACTATCATACTATCATACATCTATTTTAGATAAAGTTCTCTGTGGTACCAGGTCCGGTCGCGTGTACCGAGTAATTGATTTGTCCTTCGTGTTAGATTCCTAGTACAGACGAATAAAGTTCGAATATTTGTTACGTTAGGAATAGAAATTACCGCATGTGTTTAACGCTTCATAATTCAATTTAGTAGTATTAATACTAAAGTAAGTAATTTACAACTACAATTTTTCACATTTTTGTTAATACACTTGGGATTTGATTTTTTTAGTCAGAGAAGAAAGTTTGTGTGTTAAAGACTATTACACAATTAATGATTTTATAGAAGATGGCACGCCTTGGGAATGAAGTGTTCGCCTCCAGGCTACTTCAATTTTATAGTAATATTGTAATTTATAATTTAACTTCATAGAAAAATATAATGAAATAATATTAGTCCCGCTGAGTTTCTTTCGCCAGTTCCTCTCAGGTCTGAGGCTTCTTTTTTCCGAACTGGTAGTAGACTCATGACGTTCAGTAAAAAATTATAATAATTTAATGCTGAATAAAATATTTTGATTTGAATTTAGAAATTTAAATTGATTAGTTTGAGAGTTTATAAGTTACAAGTGTTTCCCTATGGCTCCATCCGCGTAATTTATTTGTGTATTGCTGCACTCACATCATCCCCTATTTTTATCCCCAAAAGAAGTACAGTCGAAAACTTTGAATTAGATTACATATTCGTCATTTTTAATCAGAAAGATTATTTCTAATTATGTTATTGTTACTTCAAAAATATGAATTTTCAACCTAATCAAATCAAAATACGTTGATAACAAAACTATGATAACGTAACAATAATCCATAGCAACCAGATAATAGAGGGGCAGTTAGATGACAACTTGTAAGTCCCTTACAAAAAATAAAGGAACAGGATTTTATAATTTCAGCCAACCATAATATATGGTCTTACGATGAAAGCGCTAAATACAATTGACTTTGTTTAAAAAATATCGATTTTAGACGGAAGATATTTCGGTTTATTCTTTATTAACAACATACAATAATTATTTAATACGTAACATTTACTTTTGAAATGAGCAAAGAACAAATGAGACTATAAAATTCCCTAAAATCTTATAAATAACTGTCTTAACATAAATCAAATTCAACAGATCAACTAGTCTCATCTAGCCTTTTTTCCTAATGCTTCAGCCTCGGCAAGAGTGTCAGGCATGGTACTTCCGAGAGTTTCAGGCTGCGTTAGAACTAGCAGACCTGATAATACGGCCATCGAACCGAACATTAGTGAAGGGATACCGTGCCAATAATCCATCTGAAAATGTAATTATAATTCAATTAAAACATAAATTTCTAGATAATATACGGTATATAAAATTTCAAGAAGCATACTTTAGATTGAAGATAGAAATAATAGCACATGTAATTATACTAGTCTTTTATATAATTAATAATCCCATTAATATTATTATTCCATTGTTATGATTATTAATATTATCAATGCGAAAGTTGGAATGGATGTTTGTTATTCAAAAATTTGATACAGAGATAGATTATAGTCTGAAAGAGCATAAAGGTTACTTTCTATCCCGGAAAAATGTACGATTCCCGTGGGATAGATTTATTTTTGTTCGTCACTAGGGACGAACCCGAGCGAAGGGAGGGTGAGTAGCTAGTCTTTATTATACAATTAACACCCCCAGGTAAATGACTATTAAAACTTTTATGAGCGATACGTACGAGAACAGGTGTCAGAGGCGCTGTGATAGATCCAATGCGACCAACCATAGAAGAGAATGCAAGGAGACTGTGGCGGTATTCTGTCGGGTACAATTCCGATGTAAATAGGTAAAGTGATGTCATTACTACGGAAATTCCAAATTTTCCCAACAAAAAGACAATAAGTCTTACAACAGTCATATCTGAAAACAGAAAAAATTGTGAAATAATGTCACGAAACTAAAATATATTGCAATTTGTTCTATGAATTGCCTAATTTAAATTTTGCATATTATATATGCACATACATATATAGTTATCGTGTACAAGGACAAGATGATTTAGTTCAAGATAATTCTTTGAAAATAAGGCTGTCTACCTACGTCCATGAAAAAATAAAAAGATATTTTAAAATTGTTCAAAATTACGACTTATAAGATTTTAATTTGCTGTCTCAATTTCATACCAATTCCACTTGGCAGTCTTTATGAGTTCAATAAACACTCGAGTGATGCAATGCTACAGCAGATGACTCCATATATATTTCAATTATAAGTACAAACACATTAAATATATTATCTACTTAATATATAGAAATAAATTTACGAGAAATAAGATAAAGTGAAAATCAATTGAGAATGGGTAATGGTGAGTAGATGTAGACAATAAGGACATACGTAGATTGCGTTCACAATCTTCTTAATTTAACATATTTTTTTACATTTACACAGTTCACATATACCCATGTTTCCTAGGTTTTTTATGTCTATTGCTTTATGTATCCTATAGAGTATTACATTAACATATATACGCAATTTTACATTTAGCAATAGACAAAAGAACGAGTAAATTTTCTAAATAAACAAGTCATACATTCATTCACTCACTGACCAACAACGCTTTTCTAAATGAATATATAATAATAGAAAGGTACTCACCATTGGGTATAAATACAAAGGCAATGTTACACGCTGCGCTAAAGAAGTAACCAGAAGACAAGGTAGCTTTTCTTCCAATTCTGTCAAGAATCAGGACTGCTGTGAAAAATCCAGGTATTTCTACGGCGCAAGTCAATATGAAACTTAAGTGCATATTGTCCGAAAGGCTCGTCGAATT